AGCTCTCTATTGTCGTTCGAAGTAAACGCGATCCCGAAATTGCCGTCGTACTTATGACACAATGTATACGAGAATTGTTCGGAAGATCCCTTCCGCATCCCAGTTACACATTCACGCGCGCTAAAGAGCTTTCGCGACAAAGAAGCGCGTGCAACCTTAAAAAGTAGCGTCTTTCGGGAATGGAGCGCGGGTTCCGGCCGGGTTCTCGCGCGGCGCGGCACGCTAAAAATAAAGATTCCCGCACGAAGCTCCCGTCGTGGTCGTCGTCGTCCGGAACCCTCCGTCGTGCCTCACGGAGACCTCACGCGTTTCTCTTTAGTGCGTGACTCAGCGTACGCCTGGAAGCCACCCTCGTTGTGTAGCTCCCTTCCCGCCGCACTCTTCCCATCGGTGCCCGAATGCAACCAGGCGGCGAACCCTGGCGCTCTCGGCACTAACACGTGCGGGGAACGCGCGCACGTACTTTCATTATCGAGGTAGGGGCGGTGATAATAATCGAGCGCTGCTGGGCCGTGGTAAGGGCTGCCGAAGGGCGCGCGCACGGCTCTAGATCCCATGCACGGAATACATCAGGGTCGAATACCATTACGGAGAGAGGCGCGCGCGACTAACCGCGATGCTTTTCTCTTTTCTCCCTTCTTTCCGCGCTCTTCGCTTCCGTTCCCGCATCCGGCTTCGTTCGCGGAATCGAACAATGCACGGCGTACAGCGTAACGCCCGATTGTCCGTCATCACCAAGAGTCGCAATTTAGCGATGATGATTTCAATCATACTTTCGACTACATTCGACCGCACCGCGCGCGCCCGAGCAATTGATATCCCCGTTGTTCGCGTTTCGTTAAATTAATAATGTTGCGATCTTTTTTCATTCAGAGACAGGCGTCTTTGCAGAGCAGCGCGCGCGCCGACCCGAATCGACGAAAAATAACGAAGTTGCACGCGATAGAAATGAATTTGGCGGTGGAGATTAAGTTAACTTCTCTCCCCGCGCGAGTTTCCCGATAATGATCTTTCTTTTATGAAACAGCAGCGCCGGGTTAACAATCGATCGCTATTTATTCATGCGGCCCTCATCGGCGCGCCGCATTCGTCCGGACGCGCGAGAGAGACGAGGAGAGACGGACAAAGACGAGGGTAAGAGGAACCATTAGCGAAGAATTCGTGGCGTTCGCCAAAAATGCAGAGGGCCCCGGTTCCGCCTCGCTACTACTCTCTCCGGTGGAGGAGGTCAACTGTTTTATTGGCTAAGGGTCGCGGCGCACGCCCTCGGAACCACGGTTTCGGTTAACCCTCCCCCCCGTTTGACCCGCCTCACCCCCCTCGCCGGCGAAATCGGAGCGACGAATTATCGCCTTGGTTAACCTCCGTGCGCGCGCGGTTCATCTTTTTCCTTGTCCGCCGTCGCCACCTATTCCGTGCCGGATGTCCTAGTTCCTTAGCCCATTGATTAGAAACTCGCGGCCGTTGTTCCGCGCGCTCGCAATTTTCCCGAGAGACCGTCGCGTCGACGCGTGGATTCGCCGCGCGGTTTCGACGTGTGAAACATTTATCTTTACGGAACGGAGACGTCCGGATCGATCGCGCTTCTCACGCGCGTCAGAAATTATAATATAGTGATAAATCGGCGACGCAAATTGGAATAATCGCCGTGTCTCGCGATGAGAGTTCGTTTTTTCACTCGAGCCGCGCGGCATGATTATCGCGTTTCTCGCCGCTTCTTATCGCTGCTGCATTACGTATCTGATCGGCACGACCCACCCGATAACGCTGCGATTCGAGCGGTGCGTTTCCGCACGGACGGCTTACGCACGTGTGCTCGCACACACCGTCTACGGGCCCTTGGCTTGTACGGGACCTTTAGCGGCTCGCGAGCCGCAGTCGGGACGATCAATGACAACCTCTCTCTCGCTACGTCCTCGTCGGGTTCACCGTAGGCACGGTAAGTCCGCTTTCTCTCTCGCTCTCTCTTACTTCGCGTCGAGAGACGCTCCCTCTCAATCAAGATAGACGCGCGAGAGGCTTAGCACCGGGAGAGGAAGCGAACACGAGCGCGGCGGCGTTTCTCTTCTGCGAGGGGAGCAAGCGAGAACGTCTCGAAGCCACAGCCGACGGAGCCTGAGAGGGGAGACTTACCGCTCTGGGTCTCGGAGAGCGAGGGCGGGATGCACGGGGAGAGGAAGGAAGGGTGCGGAGAGGCAGGGAACCCCGCGGCGGCGAGACGAAGCGAGAGAAAGAGAGGAGTACACGGAGCGGGACGAAGAGAGAGAGCGCGAGAATGCGGAGGGAAAGAATAGGAGAGAGCGCCGCGAGGAGAAAGAGAGAGGCACCGACGCGGAACAGGAGGAAGCGAGGCGGGAGGAAGAGAGCCGCGCGGCCTGTCTGTGCCTCTGCTTCGGAAAGTGACTAATGACTAGCCGGCCAGACCTACTCTTCTGCCACCCTCGGCGAGCGAGGAAGAGCGAGCGAGCGGAGCAGAAGAGAAGGGCTCCTCCCGCGAGAGATATTGCGGTGGCGGACCTTTCCTCCGCGCCGTTGTTATCTCACGGCCCTCGACGACGGTCAACCGTGAAAAATGAGTGTCGCAAGCGGGCGATATTTTGCGAGCGGGCGGACGAACGCGCGGCGAAGGACGGGGAAGGCACGCAAAATACCGTGAATGCCGCCGCTGGATCCTCCTCTCTCTCTCTGTTCTGACCACCCGGAACTGAATCCCGATCGATGGATGGTCGGTCGGCGAGCGGAGCCGGCGGAATTCTAAGCGCTCTTTCTTCCTTCCGTGAGAAAAGAGTTCCCGCCGGCGCCCGGAATCCCACGGCACCGCGACACGCGTTCGGAACGGCGGCGATCGCGCGGCGCGTCTCCAGAGAGGTTCGGGAGAAAGACGTCGTTCCCCGCCTCGAATTACACTCGCGTGCACGAATATTACATTCTTTCGTAAAAAGGGTGAAAAGAGGAGAATCGCGTCGTGATTTTGCCCGCGAAATCGAGACGAAATGAAAATACCAATTACACCGGAATAACCGATAATGACCGGTGATTGATCGCGGAAACCGCAACGCGAACGGATCGATACGGCGAAGTTCGCCGGCCGGGCGCGATTTCGCATCGGCGGCAAAATTCGCCGGCGGCGATTTATCGACGTGGAAACGCCGGATGGAAACGAGGCTGTAATCTCGACGGCGATTCGGAGGAACTCGAGGTGCGATGTCTTGCCTTTTTTTCCCTTCTTCTTCTTTTTCCTTCTTTTTTTCTTCTCCCGCGCGAGACCGGATCGCGCAGTGTGCTGCGTTGAGCAGGGGGGAACTGTGAAAGCGTCCGCTTCTCGCGATCGAGTGAAAAGTAATGGAGCGACGCGGAAAAAGTGCGAGAGAGCGTCGTCTCGTTCACCACGTTCGAACGCCTCTCACAGATACACGGGCGATAACGGCTGCTGACGTATCTACACGACGGAGAAAACAATCACCGATGGCGGAACGATGCGTATGTCCCGATGACTCACCCCGGGCGAGGAGTTCTCAGTCGAATTGACGAAAGAAAATCACCGCAGGTCGGAGAACAAGGTCCCGCGACTTCGACGGCTTTCGATCCGCATCGGGGAAGCGCATCCCATCGGTCGAGCGACCCACCTATCAACCGAATTTCTGATCAGCGAAGCGCAAAGCAATTTTACGGATTAGCTCGCCACTTCGTTATCTGCGACCGCGACTTAATCAAGACATTCCGATGCGGAAGTAAATCGCGAGCTATTCCTGGAATATCCTGAGCTCCAGGACTGCGTCACGATGACGCGGCGCGCTGTAATTTAGCGCGTTATCGGATAGCCCTAAAGTGGCGCATTACGTGAGAGAAGGAGAGAGAGAGAGAGAGAGAGAGAGAGAAACTGGAGGGATCCTCGCAGCGTTCGTTTTGCCGAATTCCCGTGGAGGCGCCGCGGATAGAAAATTGCGGAAGCTAAAGAGACCGGCCGACCGACCGACCTGGCGAACGGCGTGGTGAACGGACCCTCTTTCCTCTCTTTCTCTCTCTCTTTCTTTCTCTCCGTACTTGGCAAAGCTCCGGCAACTGGATCGAAGCGCCGTTGCACCGACGGTTTTCCCCTCTCCGACAGAGCGTCGGACGAGGCGACGGCGTCGGCCACCGGCCGCGCCGTTGCACGCGCGTATATACATAATTAGACGCAATTAAGCGGCCGCCTTATCTGCGCGCGGCAAACTCTCTGTCTCCCTCCCTTTGTCTCTCCCTCTCTCTCTCTCGGTCCCTTGCTTTTCTCTCGCACTCTGTCGAGCGTGCCGCGCCCGAGATTTCTCGCGGTTTTTCAACTCGCCGTGGAGATAAATCCACCGACCCGTAAAGCCCGCATTTCAGTGGGCCGCGGTGGGCTGCCCGCGAAACGGCCAATCTGCGCGAATAAAAGGCCGAAAGTCAATTTTCGCGGAATAAGGAACTGAAAGCGGAATCTACGGGGCTGAATATAGGACAGTTACTCGCGACGTTATTACCGTTCCACGTACGGTCGGCACATAACGAAATTACTATAACCTCTCCCCTCTCTCTCTCTCTCTCTCTCTCTCCCTTTCCTTCTTCGATCGTCTCCCTCCTGAGAACTGCGCTGCGCAAAAATACGATGAGAAATGCGAGCGTTAAACTGTTAATGCGTTAATATGCAAATCCCGGCCTCCTCTAACGGCGGCAGCGGCGCGATCAGAAACGTGTAAAAATACGAGCAGTGTTTCACTCGGCCCTTCCACCGCGAATACCTCAACGTATCTGAAAGTTCGCGCGTGTAATTTCTCATTTCCACGGTGCTTCCGCGCGGCCGATGCGCGGAGCTTATCTGTCGCGTCTCGTTTGCCGATCGGAATCTCCGGCGCGTATATCAACACGCTTATCTCGGAGAGGCGAGTTTTGCAAACACTCGCTAAATTAATCGCGTTCCCTTTCGCGGCCGGGAGAAAGACAGAGACGTCGCGCGATTACGGGGAAGGATAATCCGCTCTCACCTTGTTGTGCGGCGGCTGCGTGGGCACGTAGAGCGGCGGATCCAATCCCGGGCTCGTGACGGCGTGACGTCCGATAATCCTGTCGGCCGGTTTCGCGTCGTAGCCTTCCGGCTGACCGATGTGGAAACCCTTGCTCTTGACCCAGAAGCGAAACTTGCTGTTCTCCGCGCTGTTCACCTCCTCGCCCCGCAGCGTCCTCAGAATGCGCGCGTACTTCTTGATCGTGATCGTCTTCGTCTTGGCGAGGTCGCCGTACGTCTTGATCACCCACGGCTGATAAGTGGTGAACATGGTGTCGTTTAGGAACTTCCTCGTCGAGGGGTTCCCGTCGGCGCCGTTCGGCCCCTTCTGCACGCCTCCTCCGTAAGAAGCGGCGCCGCTGCCGTTGTTGTTGTTCGGCATCCCCGAGTAAGGCATCGCCATGCCGTTCTTCGCACCGTCGGGGTACCCGCCGTTCAGCGAGTTCGCGCCGCCGGACGCCAAGGAGCCACCGGTCATGTTGGAGATGTCGAGGTACGAGACGGAGGAGCTCTTGCCGAGATTCGTGGCGTTGCCGACGAAGGTCGCCATAGAGGTCGACATGTAGGATATCGGTGTGGGAGGCATGCCGAGGCTTCCGGCGCAGAGGCCAGCCGTCTGTCCGCCCGTCAAGCCCAGTCCGGAAGCGTAGGACGCCACGTCCGACGTGGTCGGCCAGCTGTTGGTGGAGAGCACCGAGCTGCTGCTCGATATGTCGGCCGAGGTGGCGGCGGTCGACGTGGAAGACGACTTCGTCTGAGTGGCCGATCTCGAGACGGAAGTTCCGCGACTCCTCGAACTCTGGCTGTCGGCTGCCGGGGTACTCGTGATCGAGGAGGCGGCGGAGGACGTCGAGCAAGTGGCGGAGGACGCGAGGGACGTGGAGGGACAACCGGAGGTAGCCTTCGCTCCGCTCGTCGAAGTCCCGCGGGACTTCTTCGTCGGCGGCTCGTCTCGCGAACCGCCGTTCATCGAGTTCAGATTGCCGTGGGACGGGCTGTTGTTGTTCTCGCTTCTCGAACGTTTGCTGGACGACGTGCCGCTCGTCGCCGGCGACTGGCTCGAGGGAGTCGGCGAGTTGTTCACCGGCGCTCTGCGACGCAGACCCATCATCGTCGCGCTGGCCATCCTGGCTACGTCGTCGTCTACCCGCTGCGATCGGTGTTTCCTTCACGGTAGTGCCGCGAGCACAACCGACTCGGGCACATCGACACTGACCGGGCCACTGCTGGCGAGCAGCCACGCAGTCTCACACCACTGAGATCATTCACGATCACTCGCGAGGAACACCGCCCGCCCCGGGTCGGTTAACAATACCGGATTATCGCCGAGACGGTTTTCCTCCCGACGTGGTGACGACGACGACGGCGATGCTGCGCCTGGAAACAAAAGAGGGACGAAATGTGACGGAGGAAAATTAGCTATGCGCAATTAAGCGGCGGAAACGTTTAAGCGAGGGCGCCGCTAATGGAGTACTAGCCGAGTGGGTGGAGACTATCGCCAGTAGGAGAAGTAGATTATAGCTGCTCGGATATAATACGCGGCAGAAATCCACTCGGGAAATTGACTCCCGTCGCCTTCCACCTTCTGTCCGATAATAGACGGCGACCGGGCGGGCTCGCGAGACCCCCCGCCGTGAAATCTCCGCTTCGCGCTCCGATCGAGACTTCTCTCTTTTGAGTTCACTCGACGAAGGGATCTCGTAGACCTGTTAGCGCCCGAAGACTCCCGAGGACTGTTTATTTCGAGAGTGACGTAAGCAAAATCCCAGAATTTCCGCCGAGGAGCTGTCAGTTTCTGTTTGCCGGCCTATTTAGACTCACCGTGTCTCGCAAACGGCCGGTTTGACTTCGCACTTTCTCGAAGCGATACGTATTTTCGAATCCGCGATCGAGGCATCGCCAATGCAAACAGCGGGGAAGTGATCGCATCTCGAGACGTCGCTCGTGCCCGAGAGGAGCCTTCGTCGCGGGCGTCACGTTTCAATTATAAAGCGCGCTCGCGGGAGCGCAGGAACAACTTTTCGCAAAAACGGCACTAGGATAGCCGACGACGCCGGGACAATTAGGCGCTCTCGGAGGACGTGCTATAAGCGGAGAAACCGGTTAGCCGTCCGCCGCGGCCTTCCTTTCGCGCGTGGGCCATTTTTCCGCCTCGCGCATCCGGACGTCAAACCGAAATGCAGCGCGCGTCACGTGTGTGTCATCCGCGATAAAAAAAGAAAAGGGGGTGGGGGGGAAACAACACCACCCCGATCGAACGATTATAACGCTCGGCCCGGTGCGGCGAAACGCGCACGGTGGTGGGACAGGGAAATAATGAGATATAACGACCTAAAAATGAAGCCACCCCTTCGCACGCTTCTCTCATCCCTCGCTGCACGTCGACACCCTCGACGTCACGCCCTTCGACGAGAGAGCGTGCTACCCGCTGCGGAACCGCGACCCGTCGTCTCGCAAACGTCATTATACGTCATCAACGCACCGAGTGGACCTTCGGACGCGTCGAACTTCTTTTGAGAGGGAAAGACGCGCGTTGTCTGTGCAGCCATTAAACGCGATAAGCCGAGCCGTCGATCGTCGTCGCTTCATGCAGCCCGAACGCAGGCCGAACGAGGCCTGAATTATGTATGAAACTTCTCTTCGACCGTCAAACGATTTTTCTGCGCTCGCAATAAAAAGCCAGCGCTCTCTAACTCTTCCCCCTCCCTCCCTCCCTCCCTCTCTTTCTCTCGACCGTGTTAAACGCCCGCTACGTTGAATATAAATTTACGCAGCGGAGCGAACGGGGGATCGCGAATCACGTATCGCGTGGCCGAATAATAGGCGCATTCCGCAATCGCGCGAAGCTAAGAGCCGGAAACTAATTCAATAAAGTCGATCGGCGCCGTTCACCTCGGCGGCTACGCCACGGAGCGAGGGCGATACTTAAGGCGCCCTTAGGTCGTAGCCGGCGAAACTGGATAATCCTCGGAATACCGGCGGACTGCTCCCGACGAGGGATATTACGTGAAAATGAACTGGAGGCCGCGGAAACGGCCAATCTCGTTGGCGGCCTTGGGCCTGCGCTGATGCGTAAATTGTTGACGGTCGCAGGACGCGTTCAATGAGCACGACGAGCGGCAGGACAGTCGCCTTCCAGCTCTGACGGGAAGAGAGAAGTAGGAAATATACCGAATGAAAGAACCGAGATGCGCGTTGATCGGAGAATCCACCGGACGAAAGCCGCGAAAAGCTATTTCCATCTCGTCTTCGGTAGCAGCTGATTGATTCACGCATGAGTTTATATATTCGTCGGACACACGTCGTCGTCGCAGTTTGGTGGCTGATTTAAGGTCGCCGAGTGGCGGCGGCGCAGAACCGATCGGGATTCGAGGCTTCTGAATTCCGAATGGAGACCGAATGGGTTATTCTTCGAGACGTAACGTCTGTAATAGAGCATAGATGCACTCCTAAATATTTCAGCTTTAGACCGTTCGATACCGCCCTCGCAGGGAGAGTCACGCGAGGGACTGGCATTGGGACGGATTCTTTATTTTCGCGATTACCGCCCTCGGGAATGTCAATCAGCGAGCCGGTCCGTCGGGTTTCCCGGGTAAAATAGCAGGCCTCTGCAGTTTACGCCGGACAATCGAGAAACGAGCCCACGGGCGGGAACTAATTCAATGAGGCCGATCGAAGCGTCTAGCACGATGGCTGGTATAATGGCCGGGTCGCGGTGTACGTGGACTCCTTCGAATGACGGAGAGCCGGCGAGAGAACGAAAGTGAGAAAGAGAAAGCGAGAACGGAGGATGAAGTAGTCGCTATCATCGCCGGATAACCGCGCACGCACGAAAAGGCTTATTTCGAGAGACACGAACCCCCTTCGAGAGCCTTAATTAATGGCTCGATTAAGTACCTATTAACTACCGCATTTAGCCCGTGCCACCGGACCAAATTCGCGCAGAGACGTAATCAATGGGGAGAGCAAAGCGGATAAAGTCGACCTGCGCCGGCAACGGGTTTGTTCGAGCGCTCCTTCATTGCGAGAGAGTGCCGTTCTCGGATCGAGAGAGACACCGGGATGACACCCTCGATTTGCGACGCAACGAAGGTAACGTCAACGCAATCGACAAATCTCGGCTCAGCACGAAGGCCGCGACCCGTGACACGCCGAGCCCAAGCTAAGTCCGTAATTTATATCGAGGAATACATTTCCCGGTGATTTATGAAAATGTCATCGATATGTATCAGCAGCTCAGGCCGAGACGGAAAACACGAGACGGCTCTGTGAGCGACGTTGCGACTTCAAACGAGTTTTTTTCTCTCAGATTACAAGATTCAGAGCGTCACATCGTCGATTAATGTCCAGAGGAAAACTTGACGAGTATCTAAAGGGACGAGGCTCTAAGTCACGTTATCGCGTTACGACTTCACCGAGCGCGCAAACGTTCGCTCTTCGGGCGCAAAGCGCAGCTACGAGGAAAAAAATACAAAGTTGGGGAAAAGAGAATAACTCTCTCTCTCTCTCTCTCCCGCGCCGAAGTGAACCACGAATAGGTGACCCGATTAGGTTAGCCACCGTACTACCGCCACCGCTGCCGCGGGCTGCGCTTAGATAACCCGCGACGAACAATCGGGAGACAAACCCGACCGGCGGAACGTGCGAGGGCAGAGCTAATTCAATAAGGCCGATCGAACCGTCCGGCACGGTAGCCGGTATAATGGCCTCGGCGCGATATATCCGCGCTCCTTTAGGTGGCAGAAACGGGGCCCCGGGACGGCGATATGTCTCGGCTTAGAGCCGCACACAAGTCACGTAGTGGCATGGGACCACCACCGAGTATTATAGCGCGTCCCCTCCCGCCCCCACCTCCTCTTCTTCCTCCACCTCGATTCAACCTCCTGCCCCCTTTGCCGCTTGTCGGTCTCTCTCTCTCTCCCTTCTTCTCTCCCCGTGTATCGCTCTCTCCTTCTACCTCCCCTCTCTCTTTCCCTTTCTCTCTCTCCCTCCCTCTCTGTGTGTCTCTCTCTCTATCTCCCTTCATGTACGTATTACTCGGCGTATAATGTGGGTGCCGCTCGCACACCGAGCGACCGGGTGTCACGCTACGTGCTTCCTGCCCGCAGGCCATAGTGCGACAAAAGGCCTTATGTCCGCCCGCTCGTGGGACACTCGTGATCGCAATGTGTAATCAAGCTCGCAGCATGGCCACTGTATTACCACGTACGCCCACCCGTTGTACGCGTGCATACGCGGCAGTTTCGGTTATCCGTTTCCCGCGCAGGACACCACCATCCTCCTGCTGCTGCTCCTCCGCCCCGTCCCGACCCGTCGATCGCTTTCGTAACGGCGTCTCGCGGCCGATCGGCAAATTTGCGACCGCTATTTTAAACCGTCCGCACGAGCGGGACGCTTTTTTTTTTTTTTATTTGTTATCGCAAACGAGAGCGAAATTTATTGCGTATGCGTTGGGAGCTCGCACACGTTGTCTCTTAACGCGAAACGCGCGAGATATTCGCGCGGGGTGTGTATTGGTGTGTTTGGTTTGCGATGAGCATCGCCGATGATATCGATGATAATTGCCGCGGAATTAAATTAATCACGAAGCGATCTCGCGCGCCGGGGAAAATTTCTGAGCGTCGGCTGAATCGGAAGAGAGAGAGAGAGAGGTCTCTGGGCAAAAAGCCGCTCGCTCGCGCGCCCGTTACTCCCGCTGAATTCACGACCGGTCGTTAAGACTTTCTACTAATTACCGGAACGCTCGCGAGTCGCGGCAATCTCCCCGGAAAGATTCGGTTAACGCAGTTGTAGAAACCGCGAGGGGCCGCATCGATTTCGGCGGAAGATCGCGCACACGTCAATCCCGGCGACGATGACTTCACGAGTCGGCGGACGAAGCGGCACGAAGTCGTCCGTAAGGCTGACGATAGGCGAGGCAATTTTCGATCAATATAGACGCGTTGTCTTTGACGCATGACCAGCCACGCAGAATTTCAGACGGGACTCCGCGAACAGGGATTGTAACGGGGCCGCGTAATTAGCGCGGTATACTCAAGTTGCCGGCGCAGCATCTGGAGGAAACGCCGCGTCGAGGGCGGCTCTAGACGCGACTCCACGAGACCTCCGCGAAAATCCCTTTATCCGCGCGTTTTATTTCCCGGCGCCGGAGGATCAGGAGAACCGGATCGCGCGCGATGCAAGCAAATTTGCACAATGGTATTCCGGTCTCGTTGTAATCTTGTTTAGCCGAGAGGAGTTATGCGACAGGCTATATCCATCCTTAACTACTTTTATCGATCACCATCAAACTACCGAAGACTGAGTTTGATTAGTGGCTTTACGCTCAAGTCGGGTCACCGCCTAAGGAGAATCGCAGATAAGGGATGCTGACGCATCTTCGCGCGATCGTTAGCTCGACGCGATACGTCGCTCGGCCCCGCGCTGCAATTTCGCGTCTGATTCATCATTTATACAGAAAACAGACCAAAAGAGAAATGAAAAACAAACTGGGAGAGAAGAAAACTGAATGGAGAGCAGATTTCGCAACTTCGAAAACTTATCGAATCTTGCGGACGTGCTGTGTAGGATTTCGATCGTAAGTGGAAATCGATCGCTGGAGCATCCTTGGTGATACAAGAAACGACATTCTCGGCGGGCGGACCGATTCGACGGGAACGAATTCTTCGCGCGAAATCGATGCGAACTAATAACGGGTAATGACGAGAAGCGTCGCAAACGACTGCCTCGGACTTCCGATTCGCGCCTGTTTTTCACCGTTCGTTCACGGTCGGATGAAATCGCTCGTCGGGAAACCCCGCCACCGCACGCGCGCTCAGAAAATCTCCGCCGCTGAACGTTTCGCAAAACCGATCAAGAGATTTCCGTCGTCGGTGTCTCGCGACAAACCGGTCGAGAGTCTACCGACGACGCCTCGGCGACGCGCGATTTCCCCCGACCGGCTGTCGGCGACCGACGTCGGTGAGAAAACCCGGCAGAGACGCGGGAAAATGTTCACTAAAGGATCGGCTGGTTAAATCCGCCGCGGCACCTTTCGCGAGCAAGACGGCCCCCGTTAGATCCCGGAGAAACCGTCCAACGCTCTACTCCGCGAGTCCCGAGTGGCAGTAAGTTGAATTCCCAAACGGGCGGGTGTGGCGACCGGCCCGCAACGGGCACCGGAACGGACGTCGCTATCTCTCCTCCGTCGTTCCTACCCCTGGCGACGAGGGTTGCCTACTTCTCGTCCTGATAGAGAGAGAGGAGGGGAGCGAGGGGGAGGGAGCGAAAGAGAGAACAAACGAAACCTCCGGCCACTCCGCACCGGTGCTCGGGAAATAACTCGGATTTCGCGTCGATCCGCGCCGTCGGCGCGCATCGATCGATCGTCACCGAGAAGCGTCGCCCTTTTCGCGCCACAGGAGCCCACGATCCTTCGCAATTTAGACGCTCGAGTCGCGATATAAATGAGCCGGAAAGGGCAACGTGGAAGTTGCAGAGGAAACTCCACACAGTCGACTTCCTCGATTTCTACCGTGGATGTCGCGTTCACGTGATCATCTTATCTATACGTTTTCGAGCGTAGTGAAAATGACGCAGGGCGCACATAGGGAATTTAATAAGTTACGGCCACTGTAATCGGCTCAAGTCTCTCGACGCGATTCCGTTGATGAAGAGTTCAACGAGCGCGCCGCGAGTCGCCCGATGGGACGTGCGGTTGTCGAATACGTCGGTCGATGTACCAAACTAAAAATCGCACATCGCACTCGATAGCCCGACCGGGAGGAAAAAGAGATTAGTCGAAAGCGACACATCCGATGGACGAGCAACAACCAACAACTTGCCGAAAACACCTGACTTTTCCGAAACGCGTCTCCCGTCCCCGATCGCGATCGAACGTCGCGTGAATTTCACCGACCACCATCCTATCGATTCGCGTGATCACCGTCGAGGGTAATTCCCTGACGAGGGGTGTGCTCGAAAAACGAGTCATCTCAGACGCGTGCGACGGTAGAAAACCGATATAAATAGCTTAGAAAGCATAAGTAGCAATTAGAACTCACTTGTGATTCGTCGTCCACGATAATGTCAAACCGAGATCACACTCACTGTCGTCGCTTTTATCCACTGGCGAAACACCGGCGAATCCACTGTGCACTCACACGCTTTCCAGACAAAGGATTCCCCACGGGTGGAGATCGTGAGGAAAGAAAAAAAACTCCCCGAATGAAATCTCGCCACCGTCACTGATCCGAGGAGAGCGCGGTTCTTCCGTGTCTTCGCGCGCGTCCGCCGATTCGTGCCGCGTGTCTGTCCGAAAGTGTCACCTCCCTCTCTCTCTCTCTCTCTCTGAGCTACTCCGACGTGCCGGCGAAGATCCGTGAAAGGAGGAAGAGGCGAGAGATCGTCCGCAACCCGGTCCCGGACGAGCGCCGTCGGTGGCGGCCGCTTCTGTGCTCGCTTTCCTTTTTTCTCGCCTCTCTTCCTCCGGGTAACCACCAGCCGACGATGTTGACGTCGCGCGGCAACGAGGCGAGTATAGGAAGACCACGACGACGACGAGCAGAAGGAAGAGTGGCGGTGGAAGAGTAAAGAGAGGAAGGTGGCGGGGGAGGGGAGAGCGACGGAGAAGGGGGGG